GCACATAACAACAACAACAAATGTGCTCAGAGAGAAGGTGTGTAAGGAGAGAGGGTGGATGGTCAGTGAAAAGCTTTGCTCCTTTAACTCAGATTCATTTCCAAGACTCACAAAGACCTCCTTAGGGAGAAGAAAGCAAATAAATAATCACTTCCCAGAGGGGGAGTATTTGTGAAGTTCTGGCTAAAGGGTAAGATGACAGTCATAGTCCATTAAATAATCCCAAAGCTGTTGCCAAACTCCCAACAGAAAACTTACATTGAAGAAGGAAACTGCTCAGTTGACAATATGACTGGTTCCAGAAAAAATCCCTTTACAGAATCTGGAAATAGCCATCTACTCTCTCCCTAGATAAAACACACATTTTATTCCCAATATTTGCACCTATTATGTTCTATAATGTCACACTGGACACTGAATTAGCAAATGCTAAATCATTGCTCCTAGAGAAATTTCAAGGTTAGGTTCCTGTGAGCCTCTGGTCACAACATTTTTGTAAACTGATTAATACAAAACCTTCTTTTATGTGTGTTTCTATTTAGAGACACTTTATTTAATAGATATTGTTGCTTTGTTAACATTGAACTCATGACCGATAGCACTATAACTTATGCCTGAATAAAGCTTATCTAATGTATGCACAAAATTGCATACATTATAGAAACACACATACAAAAAGTATGGCACTAATTAGATTCCAAAAAGGATGTGCATTGACAGTCTGAGAGTTGAAAATAAAAGGGAGGGTGTCATCTTATTTGACCTCAGCTGGAAGCATGCTTGTGAGACAACTCACATTTTTCCCTCCTCTGTGCAAGTGGGTGAATAAACAAGAAAGCACCTTGCGTATTGATTTGGGGATTACAAATAAATTTTAATGAGTAGGAGAATTTACAAATACAGAATTCCTAAATGATGAAAATTGATGTATATACAAAACCCTGTTGTCTTTAGCCAAAGCCCTTTCTTAGGAGACCTGAAGATGCCTTATGTTAAGGTTCAGTTCATAAGCTGGGCAGATACTTGAGTAACCATGTGTGTAATTGTTAAGGGTTTGGAGTTCAAATCTGTATTTTGCCATTTATTTGCTATACAACCGTGGGCAAGAATTTAACCTCTCTAAGCCTCAGTAAGAGTCAGAATTAACTAGATGGCACTGGACTTGGTTTGGTTTTGGTTGTAAGCCTGTTTCTTCTTTGAAATGGAGACAATGATAATGATGGCTACTTCACAGAATGTTGCAAGGGTTAAGTGTGATATGTATATAAAGTATATAAGACAGCACCTTGCTCACAGAAAGTACTCCATAACCAGTTGCCTTCTAGTTGATTCCAACACATGGTGACCTCATGTGTGTCAGCATAGAACTGTGTTCCATAAGGTTTTCAATGGTAATTTTTTTTCTTATTTTTACTAAAATTCATGCTATGATTTTTTTTCCTCCAAAAGTTATGCTTTACTTTTTATTTTTTAAAAATTTTTTATTGTGATTTGGGTGCAAATTTACAAAGCGGATTTGTTTTACCCTCAACAGTTCATGCACAATCAGTTTCATGGCTCCAATTATACTCGCCATCCATAAAAAGCTCTCCTTCCCACTCCTCCCTGTGACTACCCCCTCCCTGACCCCTTCTTATCTATGTTTCCTCTCTGTTCAGCTTTCCCTCTATGTAAATGCTGCCCTTCTGATTTCTCAAGGCTGATTGATCTAAGGGGTGCATCTCCCTAGGGTAGGTGTGTGCATCTCACTGGGATAGGTGTTCTGTTTGTAAGTCTTTCTACTGTTGGGCTGAGAACTAATCCATGGAAGTGAGTGCATTTGCAGGCTTGAAGGATAACCCAGGGCCATAGTCTCAGGGGTTCCACCAGTCTCTATCTGACCAGTAATCCTGGTCAATTTTGCATTCTTTAATTTATTCCACATTTTTCCTCCCACTCTATTGAGGACGTCCAATTTTGATCCCTTTCCAAGTGGTTGGGACAGGTAGCTGGGCACCATCTAGTTCTTCTGGTCTCAGGGTCATGAAGGCTGAGGTCTTCATGGTTCATCATATCTTTGGAATAATTGTTTCCAAATGACTTTGATTTACTTCACCCTTGTTTGCTTCAGATGAGATGAGACCAATAGCTGCATCTTAAATGACTGTTTGAAAGATTTTAAGACCCCAGTCACCACTCACCAAAGAAGCATGTAGAACAAGATTTTTATGTACTATGTTGGGCCAATTGAGCATGATGTCCCCCAAGACTTGTCCCCCAAGACTATAGTCCCAAGCCCACAGGCCAGTGATTCTCTCTCTCAAGGTGTTTGGTTGTCTCTGAGAAGTTAGTGCAACCCTGTCCTCTGTTACTTCTGTATTGAATATGGATAATTTTGTAGCACAAGTACGTATGTAAGATTATCTGCAGCCAAATCTATTGTTGGTCTTGGGCATATTCCTGTTCACCTACTCCTTCTTACCTGATCTTCTCATCTGTCTATGCATTACCCATAGCCTAGTGTTTGCTGCCACTGGTAATGTAGTATTATGCATGCAATAGTATTTGCCTCTGTTGTCTATATTTTCTGCACTTTTGTGTGTCATCCCTTTCCCCACTGTCATTGTGCTGGTCACACACTCTTGCAATACTGTACCCCCTCTCACCCAAATCAACATATGACTCCCAACTAGTCAGAAATTTTCCCAACCCTTCCCTCCCAATGAAGTGAATTTCCTTCCCTGAGTAAACCTTTCCTTGACTTTTTACAATAATGGACCCATACAATATTTGTCCTTCTATGATTGACTTATTTCACTCAGCATAATATCCTCCAAATTCATCCACATTGTGAGGTAATTCATGGATTCTTCTTCATTCTTTAATGTTGCATAGTATTCCATTGTGTGAATGCACCATAATTTGGTTATCCATTCATCTGTTAGGCGCTCTGATAGCATAGTGCCTAAGGCATCTGACTGCTAACCAGAAGGTTGGTGGTTCAAACCCACCAGCCACTCCACAGAAGCAAGACTGGGCAATCTACTTCCATAAAGATTTACCACCTCAGAAATCCAATGGGGGTCTCTATGAGTTGGAATTGACTTCATGTCAGTGGGTTTGGTTTTTGTTTTGGTATTCATCTGTTGATGGTTGCTTAGGTTGCTTCCATCTCTTTGCTGTAATGGATTGTGCTGTAATGAACATGGGTGTGCATATGTCTATTCATGTCCTGGATCTCATCTCTTTAGGATATATTCCTAGTAATGGAATGCTTGATCAAATGGTATTTCTATTTTCAATTGTTTAAGGAAATGTCAATGGTGACATTTTTGAAAGTAGATTCTGAGGCACCTCTACATGGACTCAAACCTCCAACCTGTCAGTTAGCAGCTGAGTGCATTAACCATTTGAACCACCCAGAGACTCCATACATAGTAGTCATTACCATTATGTGGTTCAAGGTGTGGCTTTGCCACCATCTAAACTGTGTGGCTGTGCTCAGGGGAATCCCCTACTCTTGTACTTGTCTTTAAAATGAGGAGTTTGGTTCAGTGGATTTATGTTTCAGAATCACCTGGGATGTTTTTAAAAAGACAGATCCTTGGACTCAACCCAGATGTATTTAATCAGATTCTCCAGACTTGGGACACAGGACACTGGATTTTTACAAACTATCCAATCAATTCCAACCAGAGTTTGAGAGCTCTTGAGCTAGATAATCTATACAGTCCCTCCCAGGCTTCAAGTGGTGAACTTGTCTCACAGCCTTAGTGAAACCTCCAAGCACCCTGACCATAGGCACTCTCCTTCTGTGTCCTCAGCACCTATATATAACACAGCACCTGCCATGACACAGGCCCTCAGTAATTGAAATTCTTTCCTAATACTTACTGCCCACACCACTTTGCCATGTCTGGTGTAATTAGTTGCCTTTCAGGGGTTAATCCATGTCTCAGCTCTCCAGCTAGATTGCTCCTCATTTAGTTATTCAGAGGACAGATCATCTATAGCATTAGATTCCCTCTCCCTTTTTTTTCTGCTAACCTTTCATTTCCCACTAGCACCTTTAGCAGAAATGGAGCAGGGATGGAGATGGATACAAATCAACCACACTACCTTCTTGTTACAATTCTATATCATGTATAGAGTGAATTCAGGGTGCAGAGATGGTTGAAACCATTAGCCACCAGGAAATAGTATCCTTAATTATCTGAGGATATAAAAAATAACAATAGAGGGATCTATGAATCTTTGGTTTAAAACAACCCCTCTGGGAAGGACTGCACTGTGGTGTGCTGAATGTAACTAAAGCTGCAGAAAAGCCAGATCTGTTGACTAGCTGGACTCAGACCTCACACAGATAGCCTGGATGAGAAGATGGAGAAAAGACAGGGGCAGCAATGAGCTCTTCCAGAGTGTAACTGGGAGCCTCACTGACTGCTCATGAGGCTTGTTTGCAGCCTCCTTGTCAGCCAGGAAGGCCTGGAGCCCATCCTTCTGCCTCTCAGGATGGTGAAGAGGGGGTTCCATTCACATACTGGGTAAGAAATTTCCAAGTTTCCCTCCAATTTTGAGATTCTATGAATCTCCGCCATAGTAGAAATTTTTGTAAATGGTCACCACTCTCTCAGGGTGAAACACTACAGTATGCACATTCCTCCACGGGTCTACTTATATTTCTTCCATCATTTGTTCATCCATTCAACAAAATATGTATTGTGAGCCTTGTATATGCCAGCCATGGGAGCTCTGATGGTGTAGTGCCTAAATCATTTGACTGCTAACCAGAAGGCTGGTGGTTCAAAGCCACCAGCCACTCCTTGGAAGGAAGATTGGGCAATCTACTTCCATAGTGATACTGCCTTGGAACCCCAAGGAGGGGTCGCTATGAGTTGGATCTGACTCCATGGCAGTGAGTTTGTTTTTTTTGTTATATGCCAGCAGTTTCTTGCCATTTTTATGTGCCCTTTCCTAGTTGGTGAGAAAATTGAGCACAATTTCTATATTTTATTCATTCTTGTGGTCTCAGTGTTGCACATCTGGGAGGAAGGAAAGAGGGGAGGGGAAGGCAGGAGGAGAGGGGAGGAAAGGAAAGGGCTACCTCATCATTTACTTTCTGAAGGGAGCTGAGCTTTTCTCACTCTCCTGCCCTACTTAATGGTTTTTCCTTCTTAGCCAGCTCTTGAGCCCACTGAAATTTGCTTACAATTGTTCTCTTAGTAACCAGCAACCTTTACACTTTACTTTTGACTTTGAATTCAGAGTAACCAAAATTTCTATTTATTTGAAACAGTTTTTACATGAGCTGGCATCTTTTACTAAAAACAAAAACAAATCACTCAAAAAGCATTTAAATAGAACAGCCTTCCAAATAAATGGTGATTTTTGTTTTGTTTTGTTTTGTTTTTGACAGACTCCAGAGTAAGTACTCTACAAGGAAAAAATGGGGCTGACTTTTATATATTTTTTTCTTCTCCAGAAGCAATGAAAATAGCAGCTGGAAGTAAGAGAACAAATCACAAGCTCTCCAATTCTAGCTGGCCCTTCAGCTCCTCTTAGGACCCTCCCTATTCCTCCTCAGTGGAACAGTGTTGTTGGGTGCCATCAAGTTGATTGCAACTCATAGCAACCCATGTGACAGAGTAGAACTGCCCACAGCGTTTCCTAGGCTGTAATCTTTACAGGAGCAGATCACCAGGTCTTTCTCCAGTGGAGCCACTGGGTGGCTTCAAACTCCCAATCTTTTGGCAAGCAGGCAAGCGCTTAGCCACTGTGCCACCAGGAGTCTTTTATTACAATGTCCATACTCCCAGAAACAATGCAGTGGAAGGTAGAAAGGTTAACATCTGCTCATTTTGGAAACCTAGTGGAAGCTTCTTAAAGAACTGTGCCCAGAGTCAAAGCTCAATAAATATTTAAGTGAATATGAGAACGAAGAATGTACCTGAAAGTTCTCCTCAAAACACTATTCAATACCGTCATCCGGCAAGAACTCCAAAAGTGGCATTATAATGCAGTTCCAGGGCAGAGTATGTCCTATTTATACATGCATTTGATCAATGTTTACTGCTCAGTTAGTTTCTACAATCTTCAGTGAGAGCACATCTGTCCTAGATTCTCAGCTGCTGGAAGCCAACAATTTTGGCAGTAAGACTCACTTGACAGAGCCATGAGCAGAAAGGGGTTTAGTGACACTTTCAGAGATTAGATCCAACCTGGTCCCTCATAGCACCAATAATTGTGTTATGTCCTTTAATCTACACTATCTCATTCAATCCTCAGGACAACTCTATGAGATTGGTCTATTATCTCTAACTGAGGCTCAAAGATGTTAAGTAATTTGCTGGAGGTTATTCATTTGAAAAATGGCAGAGCCAGGATTTGAACCCCAGGCTGGCAGACTTCAACACGAGATCATTTAATCTAGACAAAACTTCTTCTAAATGCTCTCATTTGAAGTTTTGCCTCCTTCCCCCTAGAAGGCAAATGTTAGAAATCACATTAGATTGGCTGGAGACAGACAATGACCAGAGAGGGTTTCCAGGACAGAGAATTGCAAACAACTGTCCCACTTCTGTCTTCCCATGGAGCCAACTCTGAGCTTCATGCTCTAATTTTCTATTTTCAGAAGGGTGTGAACACACACATACATATACATGTTCCATAGCACAGTCCAGTTGAGATATCCTCAGTGGTACTAACAATGATTAAACGGAAATTGTTTGAATCGACTGAACAATTTGTTGGACTATAGAGTCTTAGACTCTTGAGGCAGGACACATTTATTATTTTCCTCAATCTGTAAGCCCCTCCACAACAATCTAGTCAAGTAAGGCTTGGCCACAAGATTTGCTGAGTTTGGTGGGACTCAGAAAACTCTTTGTTTGGAGTTTCTACCTCATATGTTTTGTTTTGATAGTCTGCATGCTTGCTTGTTTGAGGAAATTCTTTGCCTCTTTGTTGTGTTTAGGTGTGGTCGAGAACACATGACCATGTGTAACCCCATGAACATGCATTTGATATAATCTCATCAAGGGCCAGGCTTGTGGCACTGAGAAATATTACCCTTCAAATAAAATCAAAGCAAATAGCCATTCTCAGACAAGATAAAGCATTGGAGTTTTTTTCAGCTTTGTTTTTTTTTCCTAACAGAGTCATACATTTTAGGCTGAGAAGGCCTAAATCTAGACCATGAATATAGATTTGGATGTAAGTCCCCTGCCACATACGCACATCTCATTTGTTTGTCCAAAGCAAAGTCCCCACCACCGTTGACATTCCCCAAAAGAACATCAGGGAAGATTACATATTTTAACTAATGTGAAAGAGAATCAATATTAGATAAGTTTGAATGGTGTGAAAGCAGGGCTCAGAATGGTTAGCTTGTCTAGAGACTTGCCATTTCTATCTCCTGTGGTGGACTTATGGGATAGTTGGTCAAGCATCAGCCATCCTGGCTTGCTGTTTTCTGCAAAAACCCAGCTTCTGCTGTTTCGATTCATCTTTCACTCCTATTGCATTCATTCTCTCAGCCAATGACACTGATCTTATACCAGCCATATTGTTTATTTTCTCTCTGTGGACCTTCCATCCTTGAGACTGAAGGGAAACATTTAGAGAGAAGAAACAGGAAAGGGTCACAGATGAACTCCTCTGTGAGCGTAGCAGCTATGTCATGACACTGACAGGTCACCCCAGGCCCACAGAAGTGTCCCCCACATCTAATGTGCAATAAAATCCAACAGAGGATCAAAAGGTGACTTACAGTGGATTTTGAAGTCCTTGTACTGTCTGTCTTCAATTGCTACCACGTACAAAGCTGCCCGGTCTGGAAACATAAGCCCTCCAGGTTTCTGTTGATGAATTGTGGGGAAATGGGTCTCGTAATCTATTCACCTGACAAAGACATCACATTTTGAACTGCACATAGAGTCACCAGACGAGCACCCCCTTGACAGCATTTCTCATTCAGCAGACTTGTCACCTTGGCCAGGGTTAGCATGGCAACACTCAATTTCTATTTTGGAGCAAGGAGAATTTGAGGGACCTACCTAGGTGGACTTAATAGAACCAATAATATGGTTCTATGATATGGATCTTTTCATCTGGAGAAGCCAAGGTCAAAAATACACTCAGCTTCCTGGAAGCCATGTAAGTCCTAAGCACTTGTTGACCAAAATAGACTTTTGTCTTGACAAGAGAGAATGGGCGTCAAAGACAGAAAAAAAAAAAAAAAAAAAAAAAAAGTCAAGGTTAGACCTATAGAAAAACATTCTGAAGGTTAAAAATGTTAGACATTCTATGCTCTAGAACAGATCTCCTTTAAAAAGGTGGAGTGTTGGAAGAGGTGACTTTCTAACCCAAGCTTTTCTGAAGTACTAATATTCTTCCTGGAGTTCTGGTAGCGTAGTGGCTAAGGCACTTGACTGCTAACCAGAGGCTGGCAGTTCAAACCACCAGCCACTCCTCGGAAGGAAGATGGGGCAATCTACTTCCGTAGTGATACTGCCTCAGGAACCCAAGGAGCGGTCACTATGAGTTGGGTCCGACTCAAAGGCACATAACAACAACAACAATATTCTTCCTAGGTTATAGGCTATGGGTCAAGCAGCAAGATAGCCAGCAGACCAACAAGGGCAGCATGCAGGACACTTACCAGCCACTTGTCTCTGGCGAAGATCACTGTGTTGAGCATTGACTCATAGAATAGACAGTAGCCCATCCACTCACTGATGATGATGTCCACTTTCTCCACAGGCAGCTCCACCTCCTCCACTTTACCCTTAAATATGGTGATGACTGGAAAATAAGAACCCCAAGCCACACTTTGCAGGGACCCCAGCCAGGAACCATGAGCACCCCATGTCAGGGTTTAGCCTTGCTCTGAGTCTACTTACAGAGTTGTGACATACCTCACCATTCACCAAACTAGTTTATGCTAAAAGAATTGAAAACTACTTCCATGTTTTTGTCCTAAAAAGTATTGAGCCATTACCACGTGCCTGGCACTGTGCTGAGCATGCTACATGCACCATATTGTGGAATTCTCTTCACAATTCTAGAAGTAAGCACTTTTATTATTATTATTCTCATTTACAATTAAGGAAAATGAGGCCTAGTGAGGTTAAGCAGTGGTGGTGGAAATAGAGTACAGGTCTGAGATGACCCCAACACTCTTCTCATGACCCCATCCTATGTTAGGTGGCCTTAACGATACAAACCCAAGGAAGGCAGGGATTCCTTCCCAATTGCTCTTGCATTTATTCACAGAGAGGGATCATCACCCAGTGGGTGCTCAACTAATTTTTCTGAGGGAAGTAACTTGGTGTTGTGACAAGAGCATGGACTCTACAGTCAGAGAAACTAGGCTTGAGTGCTAGATCTTCTAAGTGTTTGCTGTATGACTTTACATACACTGGTTACTTGACCCAACTTAACTTCACTTGCCCAGATAACAATCAGAGGAAATAATATCTCCTTATAGGGTGATTGTATTGCTAAATAAAATAATACATGTGAAATGCCATGTGAAATTGGGACAGGGCAGAAGGTAGACATCAGCTAACATGTTTCTCCTTGTGGACCAGCTGATGGAGAGGCAGAGGGATAGGACCAAGGATATAACCCTATGCTATGTGATCTCGGCTCTTGAGTCATTACCATGAACTTCAAGTCTCACTGTGGCAGGAGAAACATTTTAGTGGTGTTTTTGATCATTTGTCATTGACATACACATAATTTTGGAGTCTCTTGATTTGCATTTGTTGCTGTAACAATACAGCGTAACTAACTTAGATACCACCGATAAATTGACAAGGTTAGGCTGGTTCTTTCTGAACATTTCCTCTGAAAGGTTACACATATTCAAGCTCTGACACTCTCATTCTGCAGCATCCTCTGAAAAATCACACAATGTCTGATCTTTACGGGAAAAACCAAATAAAAAGCTGTCTCCAGGAGTAAAAAGCAAAACAGCTGTATCTGCCCTAAATCTAAGTTTCATGAAAATTAATTTGGACTGGAGGCTCCTCTATGGGAAAGGGCACATAGTTCACTGGCTTTATTTAGTGCTTTCACAATGGATAATGCAGGTGATGGATTGTCCATTAGCTGCCTCTAATGATGATTTGCTCTCCAATATCTGGAATTTAATCAAGGCTTAATCAGGTACAGCTTCCCTATAAGAAGTCAGACACTATGTACACATGCATTGCCCTTGACCAGTCCAGAAAGAGACTCATGTTTGGGTGGCTCTCCTGGTTACTGCATATGAGCCCCTATTTCTAAAAAGTAAGAGCAGGAAGGGTTGATTTTCTCCAAAAGGTTTGGTGTATGTGGGTGTATATCTATATGTGAATATTGAAGCTCTGGTTGTTCTCTGAGACTCTGAGACACAAGGGCAGGAGCTCAACCAAGAGCAGAATCCAGGGTACACCAAGAGAATTCACGAAGGAACAAAGTAAAGGATGGCTGAAAATGCATATATAGTGCTCAATGCATTTCTTGTTCTGAGAACTGATGAATGCATGATCATTTTTAAAGTGTTTTAATGGCTGTAGTGAACCATGCAAACCTCAGCCTACAAGACCATGAGACCAGAAGAACTAGATGGTGCCTGGCTATCACTGTCAACCACTCAGAAAGGGATCAGTGCAGGAGGTCCTGGATAGAATGGGAGAAAAATGTGAAACAAAATCCAAAATCATAAAGAAAAAAGAAGACCAGGCTTACTGGTATGATAGGCACTGGTGAGCGCCTGGAGACTGTGGCCTTTCAGGCCTGGAATTGAACTCACTCCCATGGCTCCCAGCCAAACAATATAAAGCCATATAAGGTGAACATTTATTTACACCAGGTAGGCACACTCCTTAGAACAACCAATTATGGGAGATCAGAAGAGCAGTATTTGCACAGGGAGATAGTTCAGAGGGCAGGAAAGCATAGGAAAGAAGAACACAGGAAAAAGTAACCACAGAGAGGAAGTGGGAAGAGAGCTGTTACATTATGGGATTGCAGTCAATATCATGAAACAAAATGTGTATGAACTGCTGTATGGAAAATGAATTTGCTCTGTAAATTTTCAACCAAATCATAATTTTTTAAAAAAATGTGTTTTAATAGCTTTTCCTTTTTCTTTTCTCTTTGTACATTCCCTAAGTTCTGCCTGTGTCTGTGGAGCTACAGGTTGGTTCTTCCTCCTGGATTAGAACATGCCCTCCATGCTGCCCAGGAAGAGTCTTCCTGCCTCTAGCCTGTGTGCCTAGAACAAGGTTCCACCTGAAGTGATTCAATGAACAGGACTCTATTAGGAGCTGGAGAAAACAGAAATGGACAAGAATTTACAGTCTGGTCTGACAGGCATGTGTGAAATATTCCTTGGGTGCCACCCAGGGTGAGTGTATGTTGCGATGTTGCCCCTGTTCTCTATGTGAGTCCTTTTTTCTATTAGCTGCTATCTCCTGATCAATATAAATACAACATTCAATGGGTCACAGAACATCAATAATTACAATTTCTCCTTGCAAAAAAGACAGAAGGAATCAATTAACCTTATGGCATGTTCAGCAGTCTGGACGTATGTTGTCTTAACACTGCCCTTCTGCATCTATTCAAGTGCAAACATTTCTCAGAAGCAGACCTGGCTCGATAAGTAAATGGTCCCTTTGTGAAAGGAAAAAGACCCATCTCCCTTCAGTCCAGTTGCGGACTGGATTTTTGACCCTGTTTACCGGGGGGGCCGACTCGACGGCATATAACAACAACAACAACCCACTGTACAGTGCCTTTTTGCAGTGCCCAATCTACACAACCTTACACTGGGATCCTGGAGTCAGACAAGCTATGTTCTCGTTCTGGCTGATAACTAACCTTGATCAAGCAGCTTCTCTTCTTTGGGGATTGGATCTGAAAATCCTTAAGACACTTTGCAGTACCAAAATGCTTTGATTCTTCAAATATATATGGAGTAATCACTACACATAAGGCAAGGTTTACTGGTGGGGACAGCTGACATCAATAATAAAAAAAAATATATATGCTTTGATGTCCAGGTGTGTGTCTAATTTGCACCAATTCCTGGAACCTGTTTTTGTCTTTGTTTTTAAGAGCTCACCTTATTTCTACAGACCCAAATATAATCATCCAGCTCTATCATCAGGGACATTCTTCTGTTGTCTACAGTCACCACCAGCAACCAATTAAACTTCCAGATTCAATTTCCCCATCTTCAAAATACTTTCTCTCTTGGTGGGGTTTATGCCAGTTCATTAGGGGCTATTGGTGAGTGTGTGGCATTGGATTGGCTCAGGGGCCTGTGTGAGCACATACAGATGCAATCTTCCCTTCTCCTCCATGTTGAGGCTTTTCAAGGGCATCTTAGTCACTGATCTCAAGGTCCAGAGCCAGGAGCAGATTACACAATAAACAAAGTACACATAGGCCTCCTTGTGCTTACTTACTAATTTGTGTTGAACAATTTCACATTTTTCACCACACAAAAGATGCTGTTCCCAGGTATGGCTGACATCTGTCTGCCTCCCAACCCCACAGCACCCTTCCTTCAGAATCAAAGTCTCTTTTCAAATTTACAATCCCTGACAGGAATGGGGTACCCAGTAAGTAACATAAACCCAAAAACCAAACTCACTGCCATAGAGTTGGTTCTGACTCATACCCTCCTTGGTTTTCCAAGGCGATATCTATACAGAAGTAGATTGCCCAGTCTTCCTTCCGAGGAGTGGCTGGTGGGTTTGAACCTCCAGCCTTCTGGTTAGCAGTCAAATCCCTTAGGCACTATGTCACTAGAGCTCCTAAGCAAGGTAAGCATGGGTATAATTGTGCTTTCTCACTAATCTGTAGTTATCTTACAGAATCAAAGTCTTTTTTGAATCAAAGCCTACTTTGATCATGTTGTCAGAAGGGACCATTCCCTGGAGAAGGATATCATGCTTGGTAAAGTGGAGGATCAGCAAAAAAGGGGGAGACCCTCAACAAGATGAATTGACACAGTGGCTCCAACGATGGGCTCAAGTAGCGCAAGGATTGTGAAGCTGGCCCACGACCAGGCAGTATTTAGTTCTGTTGTACATAGGGTCCCTATGAGTTGGAGCCAACTCGACAGCACCTAAAAGCAATAGCAAGCCCATGTTTATCTTGTTTATGTGGTAACCCAACCCCTCTGGAGCACTTACAGGCTACAGAGCCCCATCATCAAGCTGGACCCCACATCACTAAAATAGCATCAATCCAAGGTTGCATTGAGGTCACTGCTGGAGTTGTGTTTTTATTCCATAAGGATGATGGAAAGTTTGTTCACCTTGCTGTGACAGGACCCTGGCTCATAAATTTTAGAATGATTAATCACAACTAAATGCACAACAGGGAGCAATGTACTCTAAATTGGGAGATTTCCCCCTGTGGCTTCAAGGTTGCAAATCAGACATCTAGTTGTTGTTTCTTTTTTCTTTCTTTCTTTTGCAGAGGGATTGTTTTTCTCTAGGATTATTTTAATGCTTTTGGATTTATTTATTCATTTATGTTGCCTTGGGTGGTTATGACCACAAATCTAGTCATTTTGATTAGGGGTCATTTGTTTGATTTTTTTTTTTTTTTTTTTTAACAAATCAGACTAACTTGAGCTCATTTGGGTCTCCAATGCTTTCATCAGTGTCAACTGACTGCAGAGGGTCTAGAGTTGGTGAGCACCTCTTTTTTGACTCCCTTTATTTCTGAGAACAGTTCCTTTCCCACAGAAATGTGGGTGGGGACAGGGAGCACATGATGAGCCAGTGGAGACTGCC